ACATGGCAATATTCAGGTTCCTTTTTGTGGAGTGGTGGGGTCTGTTTACAAGTCCTGTAAATCATCAGATTTAAGATCTGTTGAGCAGTCTTCAGTTCCTATAGACAGATGTGATAGTTGTGTGTGAAATACATGCTGTGATTACAAGCGCTGCACGTTTCTGTAAACTTGACTTCATACAGATAAGACATCAGTGTTTCAAGTGGTTAATAAGAAGATACTTGTGATTACACTAAAGAGTAGGTGCCAATTTAAAAATGAACCAATTAATAGCAGATTTTAAAAATAAATATACCGCACTTAGTGAGAAAGGTAATGCTAAGAACAAAAATGAACACAATCTACTGTAACTGTGTAAGAATGGCTTTGAAAGATTCAGTGATGTTTGTTTAGTAGGCTGGAAAGAACCTGAGATAGTTACAGCAACTTTAAATATAGACTAGAGCCTTAAGTTTGAGTATGTGAGGCACGAAGAGGGAGCTTTGGCATGGGTGATATGAAAGCTGAGAACATCCATATCTGTCAGAAAAAGAAGAAAAACTGCCAAAGAGAAAAATATTCAACATGGCATCTAAACCTCTGGATTAGCATTTAAAGTAGAACCACTTTATAATTCTCTTTTTCTTCTTTCTGCTTTCCTAATCTGCACTAAACCACTTGGGTAAATAAACCATCCTTTTAAAGATACAGCCTTTAAGGTCTCTGTGCTTTTTGTTCATAAACAGTAGGAGTATATGGGGTTTTTTTGGAGGGTGAGGAGAGGGGGCAGAAGTTTCAACCATGGGCAACTCTAATCTATGGCTTGTGTAAAACAGATGTTCAGACACTGGTTGGATTGGCACTTAACATCCAGGCACATTCCACTGCTAAGGGGTGTTTATTGCACCCCCTGTTCAGTGCTAAGCCTTTTTGTTTTTTCACAAGTCTCTCTGTGTGTGTATACACATATGTAATATATAGAAACATTCTGTCAAATGACATCAGAAGTAAATGTAACATAATTTGGCTCTTCTAAAGAAGCTATGGGCTAGCTCTGTCAATCAAAGAGTGTTTCTTAGCTAGATGCTCTCAGTTCTAGCAAATGAGCTGCTTTCAAATTGCTGATTGGTTGAGGAAAGTTACTTTCTCTGCTTTAGAGAATATTTTAATTTGCAATATCATTTTTGTAGTGTTGCAAGTATGTAGGATGTTGTTCAGAGAGCTCAACTATGAACAAGTTGCCTGATCTAGAATTGTTCATGGAATGAGCCACCACAGCTGCAGGAACAGATCCTTGTGTTGAGTGGGCACCTTGACAGTATGAGCAAGAGGGAGCCATAAACTCAACCCAGTTTGTAGTCCCAATCTAGCATTCCCATAGACTGAATGCCAGACATTTGAGGATATATATGCAAAGATTGTTACATTTGCTGTGTTTCTATATGCTTTCCCCACATTTCCCCCCATATACCAGTCTGTATGTTGGGTTAGATGAACCTTTGTTCTGGTTCACCAATGAATTCCCGCAATCCTATATGCTCATCCATGGTCTCCTGTAGGATCCACAACAAAAATTGAGAGAAACATCTGTGTCTGTAGAGACAAGTCAGGGCATTTGTTGTGTGTGCTGATTAATGACATTTAATTAATTGTTTCCCTGTTTTTAAAAGGAAAGTTTTCTAGTTGTCATGAAGGACATTCAAAAAGGAGATGAGCTAGGATGGAGTAGGAAGGGGCTCCTGTCAGTATAGTAATGCAAATACAGGCATGGGGACCAGAGCTGAGGGGTTCTAAGTAAGAACATAAATTTTTTGAGTTTTCTGTTGCCAGAGAGTAAAACTAACCCCAAAATTTCCACAGCCCAAGGGGAATATTTGGGCACTGATGTGCAACGTTTCATAATTAGGTTCAATGGCATTCAAATGCTTTACCCTTTTCCTAGTGGATATTTATATGATTTAAGGTGAAGTAGATTAGCCATTGCATGAGAAATCCAGAGATTTCTGCTTCAGAACATGTTAGGGGAGGAAATAGACTAGAGCAAGTTCATGGCAGTCATACATCTTGCTTCTCTCTGGCTGACAGGGAGCATTTTGAATCTGGATTTCCCAAATACCCTATAAGTGTGGGAGGTGATTGCCCAAATTTTCCTTGAGGGGATGGCCCAGCAGAGCATGCATTGTGATAGGGCCCTGTAAACCTACTTAGGTGTATAACTCCTGAATGAGGGGTGGGTTAAGCCTTTGCTGTTTATTTTAGCACAGGACTCCCATGCAGCACGTTGGCTTTTTTGAACGTGCTGTCTGGTTGTGTAGGAGGGCAGGGGCAAGGCAGTCAAACCAATGGAAGGGAAGGTTTCTACTGTTCTGGTCCCTTCCCACCTCCACTGTTTGTGTGGGAAGGCTATTTATGGAGATCATCCAGCAAAACCCAAGCAACACTCCCCTCCACCCCCCTGGTTACCCACAGCTATTTGTTTTGTTGTGTTTTCCATTGGATAGGTTTCCAGCCAGCTGGCCTCCCTCACCGGGGCATCTCACCATGATGTGAGTGCCAGCAGCAGTGCAAAGGGAAAAACCTGGGAGCTGATGGAGGGGGATTGTGAAACAGTCTTGGATACTCTGAGCTACAGTATGTCCCAGCATGCCTGAATATAAATATACAAAAGGCATCAGAATCAATAAATAATCTGCATGCTATATATCACGTGGTGCTTGGCAGTGAGAATAAGGCCAGAATTGTGGATAGCCTTACACACTTGAACCTGATCAGGATTCTCACACTTATCTGGCAGCACTGTGTTGCAGAAGTGACCCCTCTGACTTCAGTGGAAATACCTGTATTTTCCAAGTAAGGGGAAACCCATGGCAGTGCAGGGGTGTGCTTCCTCTTCAGTACAGCTCGGTCTGCTGAGACTCTGGTTCAGCTGTATCGACTTAAAGGAAAGAATTAGCCATTTCTTTTTGTTCGTGTTTATGTCAAGTCCTAGCAGTGCCTTGAGCAAAGATAAGGGGATGTGGCATTTACAGCTCTCCAGGCCAGAGAGCAGTGTGCTTTCCGGGGTGAAATGCTGCAGGGTGGCAAAAATACTTGTCTGTATGCTCAAGCAGGTGGAGCATTCATACCAGCACTGAAAATTGATGAGGGAAGAGCATGCAAGAAGTCAGCAGCTTTTTAAAGTAATGGTTTGTGCTTTTCAGACCTCCTAGTCCCAAACTTTTCTACGTAGCAAATGATTCTGGATTTCTGTAATTTGTAATTTGTAATTTCTTTTAAATGCATATAAACTTTAGAAGCTATGTAAACTATAGGCACATGGAACAGCAACAGCTGTATTATACTTAAGAAGGTAAATATGTAGACAGATCTCCATATCTGGGAAATATCATAAGATTTCTGCACACAGAACTCTTCAAGTGGCTCTTTCTTTCCTTTTACCCACACTGGGGAAGACACCAACAGGCCAAAGGAACACAAGTAGTGACAGAGCAAGGGGCAAAGGCTTCCAATTGAAGAGAGATGGTTTAGAGTTAGGAAGAAATTCTTTACTGTGAGGGTAGTGAGGAACTAGATGATTTTTAAGGTCTCTTTCAACACAAACCATTCTATGATTGTATAAAATTCTCTGTCAAATCCAATTAACTCCCAAGGGCTGCACACAAGCCTTGCTCTTAGCACAGCACCACAACAGAGGAACAAAAATGAGCAAATCAGCCCACAGAGCCCACTGCATAAACAGCCTTGACCAAATTTGCAGCCCAACATAGTCCTTTAAAAATATTTGGGGGGGGAGGTGATGTCAGCACCTGGCTTGCCAACACACTTGTTGGTCTCCACCCTCAGCCTACTTTAGCTCCCACACAAGAACAGAGCATCCACACCGAGTGGGAGATAGGCAGAAGCTTGGAGGGAAATAATATCTGCACTGACCCAAAGTCCAGAGGCAGAAACACTGGGCTGCATTTACCTACTCAAGGTAAAAGGAATGGCTTACTTATTAGGTCAGATTTTCTCTTATGCAAGGACACAGGAGGCTGATAAAACAACTTGAAAATGTAGGAATTTGTTAACTGCATGCACTGAGCTTTTAATATTTAATCTGCAAACTAAAGCAGTTTCAATTTAAACTCTCTGTCTTCATGCTGGGATGGTCCCAGGGCTTCTCATTTGCACCATAGATGTTACAGCCTAATCTGGTTTTGTAGCTGAAATTCTTTGTCTAGAGTTTATGCCTCATTTGTTTAAAGGTTTTTATTTTATTTACATGGCATACAGATGGGATTAGTGCATGATATTCATGATAAAGCATTCTCATTTCTCTGCATGAACTCCAAAAACATATAAAATTCAAAAATTACTGTCATAAAGTAAATAAAAGCAATAACCAACAGAAAAGTTTTTGAGTACAACATGAATGGGATTTTTGAAGTATGATATTTTTAGCATCCTGAAATTGCAGAAAAGGCAGAAGGTTCCTTGGAAAATACTATTTCATCTGTAGGATTAAGTCACAAAATATGTGACTTCTGACTTCAGAAACGAAAATGTCTTACCTTAGGTTCTCCTTGTACTTTTAGTGGTAATATAAATAATTCAGATTTGTTAGTCCTTCTCCATAAAGGAATAGTTTGCACTCAGTTTCTTTAAAAAAAAAAAAGAAAATCTGCAGACGAATATAGGACTTTTAAAACTCTTAATAGTAATATATTTACAATTTATATCTGTTGAAAGTATTAAATGTGGCTTGGACATTATTTATTTGTAAATGTTTGCACAAAGTAGCACTAATTTCCACACTAGCACTGTAGTTTGGGGTGACACTTGGAATGCTTCTTGTCAAGTGCTGTAAATCAAAGAAGGTGATAAGCTGCCAAAGATGGCTTTTACTTCTTAGCACCCCAGTGCTTACTGACATCCTGGCATCCTGGCCACTGAAACATTTATTTAAACCAACATAAATAGCTTTGCTGCCACCTTCATGCATCTGTTCTTCACATATTTTTCTCTTTTCTTAAAAGAGCCCATGCCCTGAAGGTTGAGCTCAAGGACACATCCAGGCAAGTCGCTGAAGTTTTTCCTTTGCTCTGCCTGCTGATCTCTGCTCTCTCCTCATTACTCCCTAAAAATGGAGCGATCCACACGAGAAATTTGCCTCAACTTCATGATTGTCCTGATTACTGTAATCCTCATGTGGCTCCTTGTGAAGTCTTACCAGGACTGAAAGACAATCAGAAACTTTGGGAGATGATTTAAGTGTGTGTCTCCAGAGAAAAGTAACAGCCACAGCATGCTGCGGTGATTAGCTTTCAGCCAATTGAGGATGTCGTGAACCTTTTTTTTACTCTCTCCTGTCTGTTGCCTGTGTTAATGTTTGTAACGGGTCTGTGATTATGTAGTCATTTTATTGTGTAGTGATCCAGCTGTAAAATGTAAAATGTAAGATGCTTAGGCACTGTTCAACATGTCTCTCTCCTCCAGTAGTTACTGTGAGTGCTGTATCCCCTGCCCGCCATGCAGGCTTATTTGACACCAGTGTCAGGTTCTCGAGGGTGTAAAACTGCAGTATGTAGTGAAAGCGCCTGTATTTACCAGTGTAAGAGGCATAAACTCGCTTAGCAGAAAGGAATGTGAAACCTCTGCTTTCACTTGCACATTTTGTTTAAATAAAGTCCATGTAAACCCATTCTTTGGAGCACTCCTTTTCCCTCTCCCAGCCTGACTGCTGTTAACTGGGAGAATTGATAACTGTGGTACAGTGTGATATGCAAGTGTGGTGGTTTTCTTGTTCCTCCCACTTGCATTTTAATTTGCATTTTTAAAAAAATGCAGTAGAATGGACCTGTTTGGGAACTTTTCTGTCCAGAGTGACCTACACAGTTGGTGCCTGTGGTCACAGACTTCAGAGAGAACCTCTGTCCCACTGGGGCATTGTCAATAATTGTGTTTTCTGAAGCTGGATTTCGGACAGGGATTCCCACAGTCCTATTTTTGGCCAAGCCATACTTGGAGCAGTGCCTGGAGGGATGGGCCTGGGCCAGCTGCAGGCATAGATGCCCTGTGGCACGCAATCCTGCAGGAGCCTTGCCCAGGGCAGCATTCCCTCGGGTCCAGCGTGGCACAGCAGGTGCTGTGGCACAGCCATGCCCAGCCCCAGCAGGCTGAGGCGTGACTGTGTCTGGGTTGCTGCGATAGTGTTGTCGCCCGCTAAAAAATCTTGAGCCAGCTTGAAGGGCCCACAATCCCTGGGATGTGAAATCAGTAGTCAAACTCTTCCTAGGCATTCCCCACCTGCTATTTTAATGGCTTCAGAGAACCAGTATCCTCTACAAAATATAGCTTGCTGTAGGAGGGCAGTTAGATGTGTGCCATGTTGCTGATACAGATCTCCTTGTCCTCCGAGAACCTGTAAGGAGCAGGTAACGTTGCAAGACTGTGATGAGTTACTCAGGGCTGATCTGTGGGATGGTTAGGCATTGACAGTGGAGACACAGGCCAGGCTTTAAGGAAAGACCAAAAATATTGTTGTAGCAGCACTTATTAAGGGTGTGTGTTGCTTAAAGGTTGCTAATAAATGTCCCGTTGCCCTGTGCCATTTGTACCGTCCATCCGGGTTTGCAGTCACCCCACTGCAGCTTGTGCTACTCATCTTCCCAGTCAAGAAATCCCCACTCCAATGCAATGATAAAAAATTACCTCCTGTTTACTCTTGGCTGCAAAAGAGCAAACTTGCCTCCAGCATTTCTAGGGATGGTAAATTTTCTGAAAAAAATAAAAAATAAAAGAAAGCCAAGACATTGAAATGAACTTTTGCCATCAATGGATGCAGCCTTTCTCTGCAGCCCAGATGCTGCTATATTATCACTATTTCACATGGTCAGTTTGTGTTCATAAGCTTGACTGAGACATGCAAGCAATGGCTGGAGAAGGACATGGAAAATCTATTTTTAAATACTGTGAATACTTGATAATTCAGTATGAAAAGTTCTCATCTTTCACGCTGCAACTCCCAGAAGAGAGCAATATCATGAGTAAATCAACATGTTTGGGCTCATGTTGGGCTAGCAATGGAAAAACTAGAGGTGTGGGCTTCACTGTCTGAAGTAGAAGTGGTTCATCAACAATTCAGGGTGATCCCAGCAACTTTCAGAGAGGAAGAATCATAGAATGGTTTGGGTTGGAAGGGGTCTTCGAGATCATCTAGCTCCAGCCCCCCTGCTGTGGGTAGGGACACCTTCCACTAGACCAGGTTGCTCAGAGCCCCACCCAACCTGGCCTTAAATGCTTCCAGGGACAGGGCAACAACTTCTCTGGGCAACTTGTTCCAATTCCTCACCATCCACACAATAAAGAATTTCTTCCTAACATCTAATCTAAACCTACGCTCTTTCAGTTGTAAGCCATTGCACCTTGTTCTGTCACTACATGCCCTTGTAAAAAGTTCTTCTTCACCTCACTTGCAGATCCATTTAGGTTCTGGAAGGCTGCTAGAAGGGGTTCCTAGAGCCTTCCCTTCTCCAGGCTGAAGAGTCACAACTGTCTCAGCCTGACTTCACAGGAGAGCTGCTTCAGCCCTCTGATCATCTTTGTAGCCTCCTCTGGACTCACTCCAATAGGTCTGTGTCCTTCTTATGTTGATGGCCCCAGAGCTGGACACAGCACTCCAAGTGAGGTCTCACCAGAGCAGAGTAAAGGGGCAGAATCCCCGCCCTTGACCAGATGACCATGCTGCTTTTGATGTAGCCCAGGATGCAACTGGCTTTCTGGGCTGCAAGTGCACACTGCTGGGCTATGTTGAGTGCTCATTACCCAATGCCCCAAGTCATTCTCCTCAGGGCTGCTGTCAATCCATTCTCCACACAGCCTGTGTTTGTGCTTGAGAGAGATGCTGAGACAATGTTCTGGAGAGTTTGTGTCATCCACAGCTTTTAGCCACCAGTCTTTTTGAGAGTAGACATACATCTAACTTTGACAATACGATTAAGATAAATCACCTCCAAGCAAGTTCTTGAATACCAGCCTAAGTGGTTCTCTTTTCAGGCATTTCTAGTTTTTAAGCAGACTTTGAATGAGATAAATTATTTGCCTAAGTCATTTACCTAAAACTGAGGAAAAAGGCAATTCAACTTTTAGTGCCAGATGCCATGAAGAGTCAGCATCATGTAGGTGCACAGACACATTAATGCCAAAGAACTTCAGCCAAATACAGACATATAAATACAATATTTTCTAGCTTGAGGGACCTTAATGCAGATGTTTGGTTTGACCCTTAACTCTCAGACTCTCTCTATTTTCTTCCTGCTCACCAAAGAAGCCCTGGAGGAGAGGTGGCTCTCTGGTGATGTATATCATCAGCATTTTACAGCCCTTTGCAGTGTAAGGGAGATTGAGAACCCCAAGGGACTTCTGCGCTATCAATGATTTATCTTTAGCTTATCTGTCAAATTATTTTTGGAAAAATTTTTATTAAAACAATACTTCTGTGTAAATAGCTGCTCTAACTCCTCCAGCCTCCCTGGGCAAAGTGTTCCAGTGCTTGACCACCTTCACAGAAAAAAAGGGTTTTTCTTATGTTTAAATGTGTTTCCTGCATTTCAGTTTGTGCCCATTTCCTTTCGTCTTGTCAGTGGGCACCACTGAGAAGATTCTGACTCAGTCTTCTTCATCCTCTCCCATCAGATATTTACATACACTGATAAGATCTCTTCGAATCTTCTCTTCTTCAGGTAGAAGAGTCCAAGCTCCCTCAGCCTTTTCTCATATGTCAGGTGCTTCATTATCTTCATGGCCCTTTGCTGGAGTCTCTCTGTGTCTCTCTTGTACTGCAAAGTCCAACACTGGACCCAGCACTCCAGACGTGTTTCACCAGTGCTGAGCAGAGAAGAAGGATCACCTCCCCTGGTCTGCAGGCAGTGCTCTGCCTGATGCAGCCAGGGGGGCTGTTTGGCCTATTTTTGGCTCATGGTCAGCTTGGTGTCCATGATGAACCTCATGTCCCCTGCAGAGCTGCTTTCCAGCTGTTTGACCCCACATACATATGTGTTTATCAACATTTGACCTTCTGGAAGTTTTGCACATAGTGCACACAGGGCATGAATGCAGCACAGTACCTGCTCATGGAGAGGATTGCCAAGGTGACACTGTACTAACTCCATTTCCTCTGCCATCCCACCTACTTTGTTGAAGGCACTCTGTGTAGCAGGAACTGCCCACGACGAGCAAAAGAGTGGTTGTTCATGACTTTGACCTGACCTGAACAAGTTAATTTTCATTCTGACAGGTAAGTATAGATGAATTAGCCACACCCAGAAATAGAAGTTCATCAGGGGTCTTTCCAAGCATTTTACTGGGCTTTAGATAAGACCGTAGCTACCTAATTTTAGATGTTCAGATTTCAGAAGTTTGGCTATAGGCCTGGTGATTTTGAATTGCTAAACCCTTAACACCTCACTCCACAGAAACTAGACACATAGGGTGTTCAATATGCTTTTGGGAAAAATCAGACCACTAGTTTATGTACCTGGATACCAACCTAAAAAAATTTTAGGCACCAAGATCTGAAACTTTGGTTAACCACTAGAAAGTTATTTTCTGGGGTTTCCGAAAACGTTTTTATTCATCAAGTGTGTTTTCAGTTGAAACCAGTTTCCGTATTTTTTTTCCAAGAAAAGTGTTTTTATCAAGGAAAACTAAAATTTGTCAAAGGCAAATGTCATGCCCAAAAGTCAACTGTGTCCAGTCTGCTTTTGAATGATGTGTCATGGCTGCTGTAGGCTGTGTGATTTGTGCCCTCTTTCTCCTTTGTAGTCCAGGCTCCAGGACAGGCAGCTCTCTATCCCATGTGACCTAACCAACCGCTCTCATGATGTGTTACCTCCAAGTCACAAGGTAGGAAACTGTCATGCAATGAGAGAGAGGCAAGTATGGAGAAAAAAGTGATTGACATCAAAAAACTGCATGTGCTACATTTCTGAATGGATTGATTACAAATATTTTCATGCTGACATTTTTTAGTCTGCAAAGATTCACTCAAAACTCAGTTTTCTGTGGAAAAAAAAGTGCACACTGTGTAAGCTCTGTGTTCAGCAGATGTGAACATGTAATGTGAAATGTATAAACTTCGTGTATGTGTTCAGCAGATGACATACAAAAAGAAGGAGGAAAGACAAAACCCAAGGTTCTCAGTCTTATGAAAACAGCATTTCTATGTATGCATAGAATATTTCTCTGGATCCAAAAAAAAGGTGAAGCATAAATAACTTCCTTACTACGTAGCAAGTCCAGCACAGTTCTATTTATACAACTGCATTTGGAAGTGTGCCAGAGGCGATAGATGCCCTTGCAATTTAAGAAGAACTTGGCACAATCATTATCTATATTTTGCTGGTGCAGTGAGCTAGAAGGGATCAAGAAGTCTGACAGGTGCTGACACCCTGAGTTGCCATTGCTGGGGCTCCTAAATCACTCTTCACATACACAGCTGAGCTGCTTTGCCCCCTGTGCGTATGGCTTACTCACAGACTAGCATCTCACAGGTCTGAGCTGGAAAAGCCTTTGGCACATTTCCCAGTGTCGAATACAGCTGGTGCACAAGCCAATCAACTCTGACCTCTTAGCTTAACAGTTCAGCTGTCAGCTTCTGAAGAGAGATGACAGCATTTTCAAGCAGGCTCCATTATGCGTATC